TGAATAAAGCCAACTTGTGTGGTTCAAAGACTTCTTCACTGCAAAATTACAATAAACACGAGACGGTTGAATGGTGCAACCCAAAAAACTAATTGAGAAAAATTGTGCAACTTTAGTTATAGTTTAGTTATAGTATATTAATTAGAGTAATAGTTTTAATGTAATTTGTTTGTTTTCTTGTTTTGTTTCTAAAAACATATAATTTTTTTACTATAATTATAATGTTATAATAAAATATAATATAATATTATAATATTATATATTATAATTATAAAATAAACAAAGTTGAACAGTAAAGTGTGCAATTGCAAGAGGAATTATTTTTGAAGTGGTATAGAGATGTATAATTTATAATATAAAATTAGTATTACAAAGTTCTTGACTTGAATTTAAAAATATTATTGTAAATATTAAATTCAGATGTTAAAATTTTGAAAAAAAACATGCAACAATAATAATAAAATGGTTTGAAAAGTTTACTTGAGCATTTGAGTCTTGTAAGTCAAATAACTTCAAAATATAATGTTAAATAAAACAGAATGCATGAAAAAACAAATATAACAATTTTATTAGTTTATTAGTACATATATTATCAGAAAATGATTTATTATTTTGTTTTAAATAAAATATTGACTAAGACAATAAATACAATTTAATTGTGTCAATTTATTCGTCAAACAACAACATCTGACGGGCAACAATGATTATCTATATATGACATTTGAAGGTAAATCTACAATTCTTAGACTTATACAATCATCGAAACAACAACTACATATTTATTGTATAAAAATTGTATTTGCACGACTCAAACTTGTACATTTTAATTTGCAAAATTTTCCAATCGAAGTGGTATTTGGTTTGTATTTTTAAACTGATCAAATCATGACATTAACATTAACAGTTATTATCAAGTGATTTGACACAATCAGGTATGTCAATACTAAATATTTTTTTGTCAAAATGTGTGTATGTTACATTTTCGAAAATATAATTTAATTTTTGTTTAAATGTACTGAACCATAATCAACATTGAACCACACTATAACTTGATAAAAATTAATAATCTTTGTTTCGTGTTTTTAATTGTTTTTATCTTCATATTTTTTTTGTTTTGAAAGTCAACAAATATATATTTCTAAAATTTTTATTCCTTTTTATACCATAAGTGGGGTGTTTCAATATTTGGAATTTTTTTTATAATTTTATGAGTTAATTGTATTAAGTAAAGAAGAAACTTTTCCAAAAAAAATTACATATAAATTCTAAATTAATAATATCTACAATATTTGCAAAATACTTTGATACAACCATAATGTAATAATTGTCAAGTGTTGGCATTGTCGATTTTCTAAAGTTTTTTAATTTTATAGAACAATGTTGTTTGTTTTTGTTTTTTAAATGACTATTAAAAAAATTAAAGTCAGTCCAAAAACGTTATTTATTTTGTTACCTTGTTTATTGATTATGATTTGTTGATTTTTTATGACTCAAAATTTACAGATAACAAAAAATGATTTATTTGAATGTCAACAATTTACTCTAAAAACAAAGAAGCGATACTTTTTACACCAACAAACATAAAGATTTATTTGGTACTTAAAGTAAACAAAAAACAATAGTGTTTTATTCAAAAACACGTTAACGAACACACGTTATTTGATCTAATATAACAATGAATAAAAAATGTAACTGATAATATATAACGATGAAAATTATAGAAATAAGAGGTGTTGTGAGCGTTAAAGAGAATCACGAAGTTTCAACAGCCAGTTTATCAACTCATTGATTTTGAAAAGATTTTTAAACTTTTCTGGAAGTTTGTTACCAATAACTTCCCATTATTTTGTCCAAATATATCACCAAATCAACTGTATTTATTCACGTTTGGATGTTTGGAAATGAAAGGTCGAGTAATCTTAACTTTATTTGTGTTATTGGTTGTGTAATTGGTTATTTAGTTTCTGAATAGTTATATTAATTATAATTTATTTTGATCTTATCCCATAGGTTAAGAACATATTCATTAAAAATTGACCAAAAAATATAAAGAAAGTTTATCAAATAAATAATGTTTTTAGACTGACTTTATCAATTGTTTTTACAAAAATGGACCTGTCAAAAACGTAGCATATTTTGACCTTCCACATCCTCTCCAAAAATAGAATTTATTTTTTCTATTTCGAATCATATTCAAATTAAAATTATAGTAAAAAGGTTTTTAGGATAATATTTAGTCTGGTTCCCGAATTCAAGAAATGTCGATTATTCACCTCTAGTCAGTGGATACGAGTGAGAAGGAGAATTAAATAGAAGGCTTAAGAGGTCGCACCCAAACAATCTGGTTGTGCACCGTTTCACCCACTTTCCAAGTCCTCCCTTGACGCAGATCCCCCGGATCCCCCCAAAAAATGGGAACCACCTCCGAGTCAACAAAGCACAGACAAGGAAAATGAGTGACACGGGACACACAACCAGTCACAACCAGGCGTATTATTTTTTGCCTCTTTTTGTTTTAAAAAACAGGGAGCAGGTGTTAACTTTTTCCCATATAAACGTATTTTTAAAAAAAGACTTAAAAACGAAAAAACATTCAATAAAATAACACTGAAACATTTTTGGGCTTCGGCATTGACCCTGTAAATTTTGGTAAACGCCTGGTTGTGCAACCAGTGGCTGAAAGGTGGATGTTTTTCAAAAAACACTCGCGGCAATTTTTTTGTTCTAAACTGGGTGACAATGGGAAATGACGGTCTTATCAATAACCCAATATTATTTTTCAAGCCATCACAATTCAAAACAAATTTATACCTACTTATTTTGAATAACATTTATTAAATTGTTATTTTTATTTTTATTAGCTAATAATAAACATTTTAAAAATAATCAATAAAAACTAAAGTTTTTACTTGTGTTCAAATAATTGAAAACACAATTAAAACAGTCGTATTTGATGTAACAAACACAAAGAATTAAAAGGAAATTGTTATTTGTTTCGTGGTGGTCTTTTAATTTTTATAGAAAAACCATTTATATCCAAAATGTTTTTAAACAAAAAAAAATTTTGAATATAAAATATAAGAAATGGTATAATAGAAAATATAATAATCGTTAAAATTGTTTCATTTCATTAATAGTGGTTGAGAAGACTGGTATGATTATGCATTTATTAATATAATTTAACGTATTATGTTTAATGAATATCATATTTATTCTTATTTGATAATAAAAAATTACAGTTAAGACATCAAGATTCACAATTTTAAAAATATAAATCATTCATCGAATAATTTATTTTACAATTGCAAACTGATCGTTTCTTAAAAATTAAAAATAAATTATAACAAATTACGCACAAAACTGATTTAATTGATTTTGAATTTGAATATTTTTTTGATAAATATATAACAATGAGAAAAATAAATCGACAATTTCTTGCAATCATTGTAATTTTTGTTTTTTAAACATTTTTTTAAACCAAACGATCAAATGTTTTCGAACAAACGAAAAAAAATTAAATGTTATGAGTAAACCATTGTGTATATTCAATTATAATTATACAATTTTTGTTTTTCATCAATATCTAAAATGATGTTTCTTATGTTTTTCCAATTATTGATTTTTTATGAGATCTTAAGATTTACTTAACTGGTATTTTGGTGTACTTTTCAAATCTATTTGTACTAAATTTGTTAAGGTTTTTATTTGCATTTACTTAACCGATTATTATCATATTATATACTACATAATTACAGTAAAACCTCCCAAGAGCGGGAGGGCGTGGGAATTTGTTTC